TGTCATTCTCCACCATAGAAACTTACTCTTTCTCTTCTTATCAGTTAATATGATTTATGACTATGTTGTGTTTGTGAACATGTTTACTGCCTGCCTCCCCACCCTATACTATTACTCAGTCATTCAGTAGGTAACTATTGAGCACCAATTTGGTGAATGAGTAACAGTCCGCTTTAGCTATGTAAACCACAGTCAGCCCAAGTGTATTTACTGTTTTATGAGTGCTGTCTAGCTGTACTGGCCTATCGTAACTGTTATCTTTGCTAACTGTAATGCCAGTAATGTGTATTTCCCTTAAATTATGTAACACTTGTCTTTCTATTGCCTCAAGGAACTTACACAGCAAACATTTAACGTTCAGGCTATTTCTCTTTTCCACATTCTTCTGACAGCAGACAGGAAGGAAAAGGGAAAATCGGTGGGCTGTGCTGGATTTGCCTGGGACTTCCCAACTAGTACTTGTGTTTCAGCTCATTCACAGACAACTCTGCTGTGCTCAGGATAAAGACGTCATACAGGATTTCAGCGGCCCGCTGTTGCCACCAGAATGCCAAGCTAAACTGCAAAGTTTGTCTTCGGATCCTCTCACCTCCTGCTCTAAATTACCTCCTATTTCCTGCCTTCTTACCACTCCCTCCACCCCACACCCACGGTGCTCACTGCTCTCAAGCTGACTTTGGCTATCCAGAGTTGCCCATCTCACTCATGTTTTGCTCCTGCCTCGTTAAAACTCCCAATTCTAGCATGTGTCTATTCTTTTCCCACAGCTGTTCATGTGATATGAATTAATTCTAGGATATGAATATAACTAATAGACATAACTCTTGTCAGGGGTGGGAGGAGGTTGTTAAAATGAATCACTTGGGAGAAGAGGATTTTTTTTTCTGGCTGCTTGTCTGGGGGAAGAGATTTTTTAGCTCAATATGTTCTGCTCCTTTAGTAGGTATCGGGGGAAAATAACAAACTATGTAGAGTTAGTATTATAACCATTTACCTACCTCAGGACAACCATCCTCTACGCGAGTCTGCCAAGGTGTCTGCTCTGAAGAATGACACACTGCTACAAAAGATTCCTGCCATTAACCTAGGCTGGTGACATGCACCACCGAAGTAAAATCTTGCTTTTTATTTCAAATACAGAAAACCCTGCTCACTACAGTCCTTCCACATGATCACTATCTTTACCTAGTCCATGCAGACTTTTCAGCCCGAGAACTGGAAGAAAAGCTCTCTCTATATAAAGTCAATCACACTCATAATCCACAGAGAAGGATAATCATAGAAAGCAAGGGATTGGACTGTTCTCTTCAGAAAGCACGTCCCCGCTGTCTGAGAGACAGTGCTACTCCTCCTAAGGATTTGTGAGATTCTCCGACAGTGTGGTTTCATTAAGTTCCAAGTTTTATTAACTTCCAGAATAAGGTGACATATCCACAGTCAAATAAATCCAGGCATTGAAAAATAACTCACATCTGGTTCCTACCCTGCTCTCCCTCTTCCCAAAAGAGCTGCCATTATAGCGCACTGTAACATAATAAAGGAAGAAAAGAAAAAGAAAAACCTCAGTGATTTTACACAATCTGTGAGTTCACATGAAAGAAGGTACCAACGGAATGGAACTGACTCCTGGGACAGCCAGTTGGGCTTACCCCACAAATCTAAAACTACCTTTTTCTCATCTTGACTGAGTGATTTTTGCTGAAATAAATTTTATTATGTTGCCCAAAACGTTACCAAATACCTGAGTTAAAAAGCACATCTTTAAAACTTGTTGTTTAATCATGAGGGTGAATCATCTTCCTTTTCTCCTACTACCTAGCTGAGAGAGTTTTGCTGAGAGAATGAGAATTCTGATAAGAGAAGGCAGGCAGTTGCAGAGCATGGAGCATTCTGAGAGACACGAGAAGTGTGGAACAGATGACACCTTAAAAGGGAAGGAAAAGAAGACAGAAACTAACTTTTACTGAGAATCTACTCTGTGCCAGGTACCATGCTAGGCACTTACACCACCTTACCTTATGTCTTTTTTTGCAATTCTGCAATATGAGTATTATCATCCTTATTTTATAGCAGAAACCCACACTTTCAACTAAATCAGTCTCCAAAAGGTCATGTAGCTAGTAAAACTGCAGATCTCAGATTTGAACCGAAGACAGATCGACCATCAACTCTTAAAAAATGGTGAAGTACCAAAATAAACAGAACCAGCCCCTGGCTGAGACAGGGAAGGAGAAATTCGTTTCTGACTGATTTCTTAATTGGTCAAAAGGACCTATAAGCCAGGATGTACCACCCAGCTACATTATAGATCGCACAAATTTTTATAGCAGTGAACATGACCAGTTTCAGAATTACAGGTAAATGTTTTCAAGTCTCAAATACTTTTGTCCCAAAATTTCAAAAATACTCCTAATCCCAGTTTGGAAATTGGTTTAATTTGCCCCAAACACAAATGATTTGAGGACTGTGAGCAATACTGTTATCTGTTTCATAGTTTTTATATCCTTGTTTACTCAGCCTGAATATGCAACAATTCGATTAATAATCTCTTATACAGCACCGATTAGCGCCAGACCCATAGAGTTTAATATTATCCGTTCCTGTTCCTACTTGATTCATGGTCTCAAAGGAGACACTGTTTCATAAGAGTATCTATAAAAATATGATAAATGCTATTAGGCATGTATAGAGTGCTATGAGAAAACAAAAAGAAAACAAATTTAGGGAATGACACTACTACTATCTCACTATCACTCACAGACACACACCTCCAGTGTGCTGCCTTTGCATAGGAAAGTGTGGCAGGGAGCTGGCTGTGAACATATATGTATTTGTTTATACTTTCAAGAGGAAATGCTGGCAGGACAGGCCAAAAACTAGTTAAAATGGTTGCTAATAAGGAGTGGGGTGGGAGGATGGGTTGGAAGGGACAGGATGCAAGCAAGGCTTCTCTGAATGAATCTTTTTTTAAAAGATAATTTTTAACTTTTGTGACGTGTTTTACATATTTACAAAATAAATCAACAAAGTAAAAACCAACCCTTGTCCTACCACCCATGCCGTAAAACAAAAAAACAAAAAAACAAAAAAAACAAAAAAAAAGAAGAAGGAGAAGGAGAAGAAGAAGAAGAAACAAAGTTCAACAACACAGTAACAAACCAGAAGCTTCTTAGGGGGATTCCTTCTGCAATGTTCTTGAGGACTTGAATCCTCAAGTCTTGGTATTAGAGGTCATAAGAGGTACACTATCTAAATGTGTCCAATGTAAACATACCTTCCTCTACAGAATTTAGAGAGTACTCATGAAGCAGTGGTATTCTGTGGAACACAAGGACAGCCAGTGCTTTGGTTTATAGCTTTATTCAAGTCTACCTATCTTTGTTACTTGTTAATTTTTTATTTACTAATTTTTATTTTTTACTTTATTACCTTTTTTGTTGTGTTTTGGAGGGGTAATTTGTTTTCTTTCTTTACTTACTTTTTAATGGAGGTATTGAGGATTGAGCCCAGGATCTCATGCATGCTAAGCACCCACTCTACCACTGAGTTATAATCTCTCCCCACTTTGTTGTCTTTTTAATCCTCCCCAAACTTTCATAAATTTTTCTTCTTTTATTCCCACCATTACTAGAAAGAGCAGAATAAGTGAATAAGTTCTTACCTAGACATATCCTCATAAGATTTTGGAATACAAAGAAGAAAAAGAAGATCCTCAAAAGGCCCTTCTAGTGTGAGAGCATGACTCTCTCCTTAGCTCTGGAAAACACTTACCTGTTTGTATCTTAATTCTCTTCCTTTAATTTTTTAGATGACTTAAAATTCAAATAACATAAAATTTATCATTTTAACAATTCTGAAGTGGACAATTCAGTGGCTTTTAGTATATGCAAAGGCTGTGCAACATTCACCACTGTCTAATACCAGAACATGCTCATCACCCCTCAAAAGAAACTCTTTACCCCTTAAGCAATCACTCCCTTTTATTTAAAAATAAAAAAAACTTTTTGTGTGGGGGGGATTAGGTTTGTTTATTTATTTAATGGAGGCACTGGGGATTGAACCCAGGACCTCGTGTGTGTTAATGTGCACACACTACCACTGAGCTATATCCTCCTCTTTTATTTTTTAAGTTTCTTTTTCTGAGATTCTTATTTGTACAACTTTGGACCTCCCAGATTGATCTTTTATAGTTTTAAACTTTTTCTTCCTTCTTCCTGTTTTTTATTTTTTGTTTTATATTCTGGGAGACCTTCTTGATTATATTTTCTAGTCCTTTTACTGAAAACAAATTTTTTAAAATTTCAGTAATATTTCAACTTCAAAGAGCTTTTTCTGTATGTTTATTTCCAAAATGTTTTACTGCTTTATTATTCTGAGTTAATTAATAAGATAATTTTCTTCTGTTCTAAAAGTTATCTCTCTTCCAGAGGACAAATTTTTGTGAGTTTTTAAAAAAAACTTTCTTACTTTCATGCTGCTGGTTTTTTCTCATTTCCTGAAAAATCCTTGGTTATCCATTCATATTTAGGGTAGATAGATAGGGAAACTATCCTGCGCAAAAAGGAAATGCTGGAAGGATAAGCCACAACTATTAAAAATGGTTACTTAAGGGGTGTAGGGAGGGCAGATTAAGACAAGTGTTATTACTTTAGTGTGAGTACGTGGGGAACCAAACTCCAAGGCTGCAGAACCCTGAATTCTAGTACAAAAGAGATTTCTTTTGGAGCTTCAACATTCACTTTATAAGCCTCAGCTTTCTCCAAACATTTTGTTCAACTTCCTTCTAGAAGAACCATCTGGTGTTTTACATGGGAGAAAATGCAGAGTACATGAGTGGAGGTGGAGGTGGAGGTGGGACGTGAGGGAGGGACATAGTGGACCCGTGGGAGCAGCTTCCCATTTAGTCATTCAGTTTATCTTGTTTTCAGCCCCCGTACTCATTTTTGTTCATGTCTGTCCCTGAGTCTTCTTTGGAGATCGCTGGGCTGATCCATTCCTACCCCAGCGTTCTCTGGGCTGCAGCTTTTTGGCTTCTTTCTTCCTTCAACCCACTCCCATCGACTTTCCAACTTCCAGAAATTTCTGGAAATTTCTTGTTTATTGGTGACCTAACCATGTGCTTCTCTTTGTTGTTTTGGTATTTGTATTCGGTATCTCCCAACGGACGCTCGGATCCACTGATGCTGATCTCTGGTCCACCATCTTGAACTAGTACTTTTAAGGAGAGGGGAAAGTTTGACTTTCTACGGAAACTTGCAGAGACACAACAGCACCACTCAGTTCTATTTTCTACCATCTTTTCATAGTGCTTGTTATCTATGACTATCTAGGTAAACACTAAGTAGGTTAGTATTCAATAGAATTTTCATGATTACAAGTTCTTGCCATATGCAGAACTTTCTATGTTCTGTTATTGCATGTTTCTGGGGGAGAATTCCGTTGTTTTCATTAGAATTCCAAAGGGCTCTATAACCTAAAAGAGGTTAAGAACCATAAGACTAAATGAATGCACTCTCTAAAATAATGTTAGAAGGTAGAAATCCCCATCCCATGATGCTATGTTTGAGTTTTGATCTGAAATTGAAGGTGTTTAAATCACAAAAAAATTAATGTTTGAAAAAATTTTGAAGTTGTTAAAAAACCCCAAGGCAATCAGTAAACAAATGAATGTATAGCGTGTCAGCCAGCAGTGGGGTCTCTTTTACAACACAACCAAATGCAATTTGCAATATGCAGTAACTTGACAAATACTAGAAAGACCTCACTCAGGGCTTCACTTCTCTTGTACAGCAATTGAGGGTGCTGAGGGGTGGGGACGTCAGAAAATTTCCCAAACTGATGACCTGGATAGCTACTTGGAATAAAGCCATTCAGGCACAATGTCAGGTTTTACACTAAAAGAGCCAACTACTAAATTTTAGAAGACCTAAATGTTGAGTTAAGATTAGCCTAAAAAGTAACAAAGAAGGGGAAGAACTGATTGATATACAAGCCAAGAGTGTCAGTGTCTCTACAAAATAAAACTACAAGATATTAATTCTGGTTCCTTAAGACAGGTTTTGCTGAAGCTACCTAAATGTCAAATTTTGGGTTCTAAGCAAATGACATCTGGTCATATGGCACTAATTCAGGTAATTGTTTTATAAGTATTTTTAAAATAAGTAAAAAAATAAAAAAGAAACAGTAACAGCAAAGAGAAGAGTTGTGTAGACAACAACGTATGATTTTAATCTCTCTTAATTAAATATGAATATTTGTTCAAAATAGGGAAATAAAAATATATGTGCATTGTTAAAGAAAAAAATCCAATGACACTTGTTAAAACATGGTAAAGAAGACTTATTAAAGACAGGACAGGAGAAGCTATTAAGATAGGTATAGGGACCACCGCAATGGAATCTTGCAGTGGGGGAAAGAGTTTGGGCTCAACTCTGAAAACTGCACAGTGTGTGGGAATTTAGAGCCAGAGAGCAGGTGAGAGTCAGTGGATGAATAATTACTAACAGGAAATATCAGGGGTAAGTAGTAGTCTGGCTAAACTGACCTAAAAGAAGTCTTGCTGAAGATAGGCCTGGGTGATGAGATATCACCTGGGGATAACCCATAAGATACTGAGAGTCGGGGCTCTGTTAAATTGGCTTAGCAAGGTTCTTGCTAAAATTAGATTTTACAAGGATGTACACAGATGGGCCTGGGGGAAGGTTCAGGAGGTGGACAGAAGTTTGGTCAAGCAAAGAATCTTTGTTAGCATTTACAGTTATGTTGATACCATGGTCACAATGAAGGTCAGCCAGCCGGTATGTTACACACATTATAGTAATGCTTAAAATCTGGGCTGCACTAGCTTAGTTACAATACCTGAAGTGAAAGAAAGAAGCTAATGCTCACTAACGAATTAAACCTATATGGTTTTGCCTGTTTCAATAAACTGAAGGTAAACTTTTTTCTGACAATATCTTCAGGACATAAGGAACAACATTTAAAGATTAATGACTATCATAAAATTTGACTTGTGTGAACTACTTAGCTGACTGGACTGAATGCACCCTGGAAGATACATATCTGAATAAATCTATTTCATCCATTTTCATTTACTTTGTTCAGACAGGGCTATCACCAGAAAGATTTCAGATAATCAAAGGTTATAGTTCATTGTGATTATACCATAAAATTTTATAAACCAAAAGAAATGCCCAATTACCTACCTAAGCGGTGAAATCCAAAGGTGAATCTTTTGGTTGGTGATTTTGAAGACAGCCACAAAGCAAGCAGGGTCAGTATGATGGCACTTAGGTCAGTTAACATATGAAGTGCATCTGTCATGATTGCTAGGCTATTTGCAATGTATCCACCTTAGAGTAAGGATGGGAAGAAAGAAGGACTAAGTTAATTAAAATAATAAGTATAAGCAATCAAACCAAAGATATGCAACATCCTACAAAACATGAACTTCTAATTAAATACTTACTCTATTGCAATTAAATCAAGGTATCCTGAAATTTTATGCAAAATATTAAACATGTGTATTATTTTTCCAGTAGGAAGGTAAATTTCTAGGAATAGATTCTTGGAGGAGTCAATGGCCTTAATTCAGAACCTCTAAATTGGGGGCTAACACAAAGAGAAATTTTGTGCTTTAGCGCTGCAGTTTTTACTCAACGTACTAAGTCTACTATTAGACAGTGAAATTATAGTATCATATCTAAATATTATAATATTATAATAAATCTGAATAAAGGTAGGTATTCACTTGTTTGGGAGGGTTTGAACATAAAATTAAACTGAAGAAATTCATAAAATGTTCATTAGTTCAAAACAGAAGATAAAAATTAACCCAATTCTCTTAGATATAAACAGCAATGTCTCCTAATAGAGGGATAAAAGATGGTATTTAGAAGTACAATCTTTATACTGGTTTTCTGGTATATAATAATAGTGTACATAATACATTTCATAATTTGGGTGTGTATGTGTATATATATATATATTTATATTTATGTACTTTATATATGTATTTCCATTACTGTCAACCAATTTTCCTATCATCATCCATTGAATAAGTTTTTATAATATAATACAGAGTATTCAAACTTTTATGTGTATCAGAATCACCTGGAAGGTTTGTCAAACTACAGACTTCTTGACCCCACTCCCCAAATTTCTTATTCAGTAAGGTCTGGATGGGGCCTGAGAATTCCTATTTCTAACATGTTCCCAGGTGATGCTGATGCTTCCGGCCTTGGAACCACACTGAGAATTACTGTTATAACATATAGCAGAACTTCATGATCAGGATGTTGTGACACAGAAGTGTGCTGAGCCACTGAGTCCCCTATTCCTGGGATGGGTGTGCAGAGCCAAGGGCAGCAGAAGAACTGGGGCTGGTGATCTTGTGGTTACAGCCATTTACTCCAGTGTGCTCTATACAAACGTCATTTTGCATTGTATTCCCTGACATGAGAAAGCTGGAAATTACTGAAAGGAAACACAGGCTTGGTGGCTTTGAAATATCAGAGACTCTTAGCAAGTTACTTACCATTTTTGAGCTTCAGTTTGCTCATCTATAAAATGAGGACAGTACCTTAAAGCCGCACTGTCCAATAAAACTGAGATGATGGAAATGTTCTATCTGTGCTGTCCGACGGAGTAGCCACTAGTCACATGTGGCTTTTGAGAATATGAAATATGGCTAGTGCAACTAAGGAATTGAATTTATTTAATTTTAGTTAACCTAAATTTAAAGAGCCACATGTTGGTGATCACCAGCCAAAAAAAAAAAAAAAAAGGCAGAGTAAGGACCTCTGAAAGTCATCTCCTCCATGAAAGCCATGAGAACATAGACAAAAATTGTCCAAATTAGTGTTTTCAAAATTCTGGAAATTAGCCAAAGGCTGATATAGGTAGCATTTATTCAAGAAAAACAGCTGAATCTTGGTAAGAATCTGAGCTCTGTAGCATTTTAACTTGCCTTATACCAATCTCCTCCTCTTCAGTTCTACTGTAGCTTTAAAAACTAACAAGCAGCAATCACAGTGAAAACCTCAGCCTGGCAAGCCACTGCAAGGGATAGGATGGGGCTTGAGCTCCTTAAAAGCCCCAATGCCAGCGAATTGTCATTACTTGACCTGTCCGGTGGTTCCCTGGGAGATTAAACTTGCAAGGCTCTTTTTATTGGCCTTGAATTGGAGCTTGGCCCTGGTGCAAACTCCAGTGAGTGTCAAAAAATAATCAGAGGCAATTGTTTACCACTGCATCTGCCAGAGGCAATAAGTGTGTTCCCTGTGTTCTGAAATTTTACAGCGATGTACCTTGGTGTGGGTTTATTTTCACCCAATTTGGGATTTTGTTGACTCCCTCTATCTGAAATTGTATACCCTTTGGTTCTGGGGACATACATTTCTTAAACTATGTTGCTAATAACTTCTTTCCTTCTGCTTTCTCTATTCCTAAAATTCCTATTATTTGGAGTTTGAACTAACATACTAATTTTCCTGCCTTTTTTCTCCCATTATCCTCTTATCTTTTTGCTCTGTTCTGTGAGATATTACCTTAATTCATCTTCTAATGTACTTGGAATTTTAAAAAATTATGTTTTTATTATTCAAAAAGCTCCCTTCTCCACTCTGAATTTCTTTTAAAAATTAGCCTGTTCTTGTTTTATGGATTCATGATCTTTTATCTCTGTGGATACATAGTCTGTTATTATACTGTTATATCTGACTGGCTCTTAAATAGGTTTTAATGAGCTTTCCTTATCTTAGCCTTCCTCTTTACCCACACTTACAGGGGTACCTGGTACAACCAGTTCTGAGTCTACTTAGGGTTCTCTAGTGCAGTTCTCCATTGTGGTCCTCAGGGTCAGCAGAGTCAGCATGTCCTGAGAACTTGTTAGAAATGGAAATTCTCAGACTCTACCCCAGACCTACTTATTTAGAAACTCTGGTCCAGCCATCTGTGTTTTAGTAAGTTATCTAGGTGTCTCCGATGCATCAGTGTACACTGGATTGGTTCTTGGCTTCCCCTACTGCTGTTTACAGGAATTGGCTTTCTTGGGAGAGTTAAACCAGTTACCTCGCTCATCTGATTCTTTTCTAGTTTGTATTGCTGTTGTCTCCTCTCCAGTTTTCCCCATCTGTGTGGTGATACATACACATACACACACATATATGTGTACATACATTATCCATATGTGATATGGATATATAATATCTGTATGTATATACGGATACATACATATATTTTAAAATCCCTTTATTGTAGTTTAAGAGAGTACAACTAGAAGCATAAGTTCATTTGCCAACTTTACCTGGAAGTCTGCATTCATTCTTCAAGATTTTTCATTCCCAATAAAATGCAGTTGTTAAAGCAGTGAATAACTGTTACTAAATCCAAAGAGTATTTTAGTTCTTATCTTATTAGACCTCTCAGCAGCTTCAACTTATTTATTTCCACTTTGAAATACTCTTTTCAATTCTGGGATCCCTGTTTGCCTTCTGCCTGACTTCTAAAGTTGTAGTTCCTCAAGACTTGGGCTCTCTAGGTAATTCTTCCATTCCTATGGTGTTACATACTGTATCTCACTCTATCCTGACCCCTCTTCTGAACTACAGACTTATATATAACAGCTCACTAGACCTCTTTACTTGGCTATTTCACATACATATGATACTTAACAAGTCTAAAACAACCTTTGAGCCCATTCTTAAATCCTGCTCTGTTGCCACAAACAGATGGGAAGATAATACCATGTTCTTGGATCAGAAGAATCAGTATGATTAAAATGGCCATACTACCCAAGGCAATATACAGATTCAGTGCAATCCCTATCAAATCACCAATGGCATTTTTCACAGAGCTGGAACAAATTTTTTTAAAATTCATATGGAAACACAAAAGACCCTGAATAGCCAAAACAATCTTGAGAAAGAAGAACAGAGCTGAAGGAATCACACTCCCTGACTTCAGACTATACTACAAAGCTACAGTAATCAAGACAGTATGGTAGCAGCACAAAAACAGACACATAGATCAATGGAACAGGACAGAAAGCCCAGAAATAAACCCATGCTCTTATGGTCAATTAATCTAGAACAAAGGAGGTAAGAATATACAATGGAGAAAAGATAGTCTCTTCAATAAGTGATGCTAGGAAAACTGGACAGCTACATGTAAGAATGAAATTAGAATAATATCTCACACCTAAAAATAAAACTCTAAAAATGGATTAAAGACTTAAATGTAAGACCAGATACTCTAAAACTCCTAGAGGAAAACATAGGCAGAACACTCTTTGACATAAATTGCAGCAATATTATTTTTGATCCATCTCCTAGAATAATGGAAATAAAAGCAAAAATAAGCAAATGGGACCTGATTAAATTTAAAAGCACAGCAAAGGAAACCATAAACAAAATGAAAAGACAACCTACAGAATGGGAGAAAATATTTGTAAACAATGAGATCAACAAGGAATTAATTTCTAAAATATACAAACAGTTCATACAGCTTAATATCAAAAACAAAAACAAATAACCCAATCAAAAAAATAAGCAGAAGACCTAAATAGACATTTCTCCAAAGACATACATACAGATGGACAACAGACACATCAAAAGATGCTCAATATCACTAATTATTAGAGAAATGGAAATCAAAACTAACCATGAA